CTGAGGCAGGAATGGCTGAGTGAAGACAAATAAAGAAACAACAAGCCACTGTATGATTTTTTTTTTAAACAAAAGTTTATTCTTAAATGTACAACACGCTCTAAGACAACACTTCATTCTAGCTGTAGCTGCTACGGTGGGGAATCCAGATGTTTAAATAGGAAAGGAATCCAGGGTGGTCGCCATGCTCCAGACACAAGGAGCACCTTACTTCTTGCCAGATTTCTTAATTCCACCTGAGGCCAGGGGGCCCTTCCCCGCCGCCTTCGCTTTTAGCTCCTCGAGCTTCTTCTGCTCTTCTTTTTGCTTCTGCTTGAAAATCTTATCTTCCTTCGTGGCCAGACATCACACCTGCCAACCTCTCACAAGTTTTAATAACTCACTAGAAGAACTTATAGTACTCATGAAAAGAAATATATGTATTTTTACAGATTATTTATTTATTTATTTATTTATCGAGAGATTTTTGCTATAGAGCATGTGCACTGGACAGAGAGAAAGAGAGAGACAGAAATCAATAAATCACCCACTAGAGGGGATGGCCACATCGCAATCCCTTCTCCTCCATTCACCTCTTGGGATTTTGGGCATGCATGCACACACACCCAGCATAAGTTTCAAGCTGCCAGGTTCGGTACTCGAATTACAAATCAGTCACAATTGAGTCCAGCACCTTAACCACTGCACCACCTGCTGGCCCCTACAGTTTTATTATAAAAAGTACAGCTCAAGAATAGCAAAATATGGGACCAGCAAGTGGTGTGGTAGTTAAGGCGCTGGACATTCTCACATGGCCGACCGCGGTTCAAGTCCTGGACCTGGTGGCTTGCTTTCTCAATTTCCATCTGTGTGTGTGTGTGCGTGTGTGTGTGTGTGTGTGTGTGTGTGTCTACGGTCAAATAAAAGTAAATGACTGAATAAATAAAATTAAATAAATAATTCTTTAAAAAAAATAAAAGAACAGCAAAATGGAGGAGACACATAGACCAAAGACTGGAGTGGGTTGTGGGGGGCAAGTGGAGGGGCGGTACAGATCTTGAATTGAAAGAGACACACAAGGCAAGGCCTGGGGTGGGGAGGAGGGACACTGACTTTGGATGTCCCCTCCTCATGGAATTTGGATTTGTCACTCTTCCAGCAACCAAGTGTTCACCAACCAAGAAGCTCCACTGAGCAACCACATGTGGAGATTTTCCCTGGGATTTCATGACATAGCCAATGGCAGATTAAATCATCGGCCATGTGATTGAACTCACTGCTCAGTCTCCTTCCCCTCCTTGGAAAGGTTTTCAAAGCTCTATGCAGGAACCAGATATTCTTTATATTAAATCGCAGCTCATTAGCATATTATTTCTGGAATATTTTGTAGTTTAAAAACTGATGTAACTTTGCATAACCCAGTATTTCTTCAATGTATTTGACTGTGGAGCCCCATTTTGCGGCCCCTACTTTCCCCCTGTACACACATACCTCAGCCATCAGCAACCCTTGAAAACTCAGTTTGGGGACACTGCTCAAATCCTTACTACTCTGAGCTCTGGTGCTGCACTCCCATATGCATGATGACAGGAAAGACTTTAACGTTTGTGGGACCTAGTGCCAAACCACTATGCAATTCCTCGTTTAAACATTATTAAAAATGTCAGGGCAGCAGCAATGAACCAAGCCAGGCCTATCACAAGCACAGGCTGCGTGCCAGTGAAGCCAGCCCTGCCCGATGGACTCTCCTGCTGGGTTTTCTAGTTCAAGAGTGACATCATCATCTACCCAGAATCCCTGGTTATCAATTTTGGCTTTTCCTCTCCTTCACCCCTCTTATCCAGCCAATCACCAGGTCTTGAATTCTTCCACTTGAGTATCTGTCGAACTTGTCCACAGCTCTTTATCACCACCAACCTCCCTAATTCATGCTGTCATCACTCCTAGAAGATTGCTTCGGCTTTCCCTCACCCACTCAGCCTTCCATCGCACTCTTCCACTTAGACAGCCAGAGTCTAAGAATGCAAACCTGATCGTGATTCCTGGCCTGATTCCTACGTTCATTCCCTCCCCACCTGCCCCTGCCCTTGCTTACAACACCTCAGTGGCACTCCTTGCTTTGGGGATGTTTAAACACTAGCATGACTCAGAAGGTCCTTTTTGCTCACCTTTCAAATCTCAACTCCCTCTGTGACTTCTTCCCTTCTGGTGGTGATTTCTTCTTCTCTGCCCCATGTATAAGATAGCACTCTCAAGCATGGAGTCAGACTCCATAGAAAACCGAGGACGAGTTGCACAATTAGGTCTCCTGGGAAAACAGGAACAGCTGTGCAGCTGGGCACAGTGCCTGAGGGGCCTCTGAAGCTGAGGCCCCCTCTCCTGATGGGCACAGGGTAGGGAAGTGCACTTTAGGGGGTGGGGGAAACAGGGGCAAGAGAGAGCGGGTAACCTAGAAGCAAACTGTTAAGATACTCAGTGCTTTCCCACCTCGGTGTCCTCACCTTTAAAAATAGAAATGATAAAAGTATCTGCCTTAAATGAGGGATTAAATGAGTTATGGCACGTAGAAGCCTTATCAACTCAACTCAAATCCTTTTTTGCTTCTTCCCTATGCTGTCAACCAACAAGTTTACCCACTGTCCTTTCTCAAGTTCAAAACTTCTGCCAATTAACAGCTTTGGCTTATACTGATTACGGTGTCTGCACACTGCTTTCCCTCTATGTGAGTTTAGCTTCTATTCCTTTCCTGCCAACTACTCAGCAGCTATCTCTTGATAGTTAGAAACTTTCTAGAATCCTAAGAGAAAAATCTGGTCCAAAAGGAACCCCATCACACTCCCTCTAGAACAAGCCGCTATGTTAGCTGAGGCAGGAGCATGAAGCCAACAGCATGACCGAAAACTACACTCAGTCTGCTCCCCTTCTGGAATTAAGAAAAGGAATTTCTCAGGACCAGCAGATAGCCTAATGGTTATGTCACTGGACTCCCACTAGTTGACTGTGGTTCGAGTCCTGGACTTGGTGGCTTAAAACTCACACCAGGTATGTGTGCATGTGTGCCCAAGATCCCGAGAGGAGAATGGAAGAGAAGGGATTGTGGTGTGGCCATCCCCTCTGAGGTATGATTTCTCGCTTCCTGTCTCTCTGACTCTCCGGCAAGTGCACACACCCTAAAGCAAAAAACTCTCCAAAATAATAATAATAATAGTAATAAATAAATTAAATAATTATTTTTAAGAAGGGGTCTGGCAGATGGCATAGTGATTAGGGCAGTGGACTACCACATGGTTGACCACAGTCCAAGTCCCTGGCCTGGTGGCTTGCTTTCTCACTTTCCCTCTCTCTCTCTGTTTAAATTAAATAATAATAATAAATAAAATAAATAATCATTTAAAGAACTTATATTAAATAAATAACATAAATGAAATATGTTTTCTCTTGTTAAGCTGTATTTTGTGGTAGATGCCTCAGCCATGAACCTAGGAATGAGTAGTCCTGGGAACTAGCAGTTAGCATAATGGCTGTGTCGCTGGATTCCCACATACTTGACCGCAGTTTGCGTCCTGGACCCGGTGGCTTAAAACTCACGCAGGGCGCGTGTGCGTACGTGCCCAAGATCCCAAGAGGAGAATGGAGGAGAAGGGATTGTGGTGTGACCATACCCCCTGGGGGTGATTTCTCGCTTTCTGTCTCTCTGTCTGTGGGATGAGTGCACGTGCCCTATAGCAGAAACCTCTAAAAAAAAAAAAAAACATAATAACCACAATATCATCTAAAGAAAAAATAGTTCTTTTTCTCTCCTTCAGCACCCTACCAAATTGGCAGTCCAGTTAGTAGACTGTTGAGAATAATAAACTTCTCTTAATATTTATATCTCTTTTCTTATACAGAAAATATTAGTCCTTAGTAGTGTTACCTATTTTTGTTTGTTTGTTTTATATTATGATATCCATAGAATAGTTTCAAAACTATGTCAATATTAGTACTGGTAACCAGCAGGTGACATGGTGGTTAAGGTGCTGGACACTCCCACATAGTCAAGTCCCAGACCTGGTGGCTTCCTTTCTTATTTTACTTCTCTCTGTGTGTCTATCTTTCTCTGGTCAAATGAAAATAAATTAATAAATAAAATTAAATAAATTATTTTTAAAAAATATATTAGTACTGAAGTTACTACTAGGTAAAGTACAAGAGCTGTCATGTTTTTTACACTTAGGATACATTTCACCAAGGATGTTCATCAGAGTTCTACATTATAATAACAGTTGAAATAATTCTTTCATCTTTTTTTTTTCAATTTTCTTCCTTTAGTTTCTACTATAGGGTGTATATGCTTACCAGAGACAGAGAAAGAGAGAGGGAGAGAGAGAGAGAAAGTGAGAAATCACCCCCTGAGGAGATGGCCACACCTCAATCCCTTCTCCTCTTCTCCTTTCTCCTCTAGGGATTTTGGATTTTGGGCACTCATGGGTACATGCATAGCATGATTTTCAAGCAGCAGGGTCCGGAACTCGAATCATGGAGTAGGCCATGTGAGAGCCAGCCCCCTTAACTTCCATGCCGCCTGCTGGCCCAAATAATTATTTTCTCTTTATGGCTTTATTATCAATTTAACACATATCGAGATTGAGTTGTTTCGTTCTCTTTTCAAGTTTACGGTTTTATTTCTCTTTTTCAGATAAATTATCACATCATCTACAAGCAGTTTTTCCAGTTCTTTTTTAACTTTTTTTTTTTTTTAAGGCTTTTGCCATATGGAATGTGCACTCTCCAGAGAGAGACAGAGAGAGGAGAAGTGAGAAATTACCCCCCAAGGGTGATGGCCATGCCACAGTCTCTTCTCCATTCTCTTGGTATTTTGGGTACATTCACTAACACACCTGGCATGACTTTCTTTTTTCAAAGAATTGTTTATTTTATTTTATTCATGATTATTTTTTTAATTTGCTTTAGGGAAGAGATAGACAGACAGAGAGAGAGAGAGAGATTGAGGGAGAGGGGGAAAGTGAGAAAGCAAGTTACCAGGTCTGGGGCTCGAGCTGCAGTCGGCCATGTAGGAGTCCCATGCCCCAACCACTACTCTACCTGCTGGTCCCGCTTTTGAAATTTTAACCTCCTAATTGTCTTCCACTTAGTGATTGTGTAGGCTGAAGTCTGCTAAGCAGTTACTGTGCTGAGTTGGTAGCCATTCTCACCTCCATCCATCCTGACTTGAGCTGTAAAATGCATGTTCTTTCCCCAGTGGGTAGGGCCCTGCTTTGGGAGTGACTATATATCTTACTAACTGCTCTCTACTCTAAATTCCTATGACTATAACCCTAAATCTGACCTTTATTATGTCTTTTTCTGTCTCCGTCTTATCTTTTGCACTCTATCTACACTTTATGGTGTTAGGTGTTTAAATCACCTCTGTGATTACACCATGTCTGTGTATATTCTATAAAAGGCACACACCTTTGCTTGTCATGTAAAGTCTTCTGCATGAAGTGTAGTTGTTATGAATATGAACAAACTGGTATTGGATTTTGGAGAAAGCACAGGTAGGATGCAAAAGCAGAGAAAAGGAAAATCAGAGTCAACGTACGTCAGTATAGCAAGAGACATCAAATTCCCAGTGGCATGAGTTGAAGAATAATAGTCCAGAGTTAAGCTTGCAGTCAGCGGCTTTGCAGATGCTACCGCCCAAGTCTCTCACCCTCAACCATGGCCAACCCCACCATGTTCTTCACATTGCTGTCCACGGCAAGTCCTTGGCTGCATCTCCTTCCAGATGTTTGCAGACAAAGTTCCAAAGACAGCAGAAAACTTTCATGCTTTGAGCACTGGAGAGAAAGGATTTGGTTATAAGGGTTCCTGAATCATTCATTCCATGGTTTATGTGCCAGGGTGGTGACTAAATGTCATAATGGTACTGGCAACAAGTCTATCCATGGGGAGAAATTCGCTGGTGAGAACTTCATCCTGAAACATACCCGTCGTGGAATCTTGTTCATGGCAAATGCTAGACCCAATACAAAAGTTTCTCAGCTTTTCATCTGCACTGCCAAGGCTGAGTGGTTGGATGGCAAGCATGTGGTCTTTTGCAAGGGAAATGAGGATAGCGTGGGGTCTGGGGCTCGAGCTGCAGTCGGCCATGTAGGAGTCCCATGCCCCAACCACTACTCTACCTGCTGGTCCCGCTTTTGAAATTTTAACCTCCTAATTGTCTTCCACTTAGTGATTGTGTAGGCTGAAGTCTGCTAAGCAGTTACTGTGCTGAGTTGGTAGCCATTCTCACCTCCATCCATCCTGACTTGAGCTGTAAAATGCATGTTCTTTCCCCAGTGGGTAGGGCCCTGCTTTGGGAGTGACTATATATCTTACTAACTGCTCTCTACTCTAAATTCCTATGACTATAACCCTAAATCTGACCTTTATTATGTCTTTTTCTGTCTCCGTCTTATCTTTTGCACTCTATCTACACTTTATGGTGTTAGGTGTTTAAATCACCTCTGTGATTACACCATGTCTGTGTATATTCTATAAAAGGCACACACCTTTGCTTGTCATGTAAAGTCTTCTGCATGAAGTGTAGTTGTTATGAATATGAACAAACTGGTATTGGATTTTGGAGAAAGCACAGGTAGGATGCAAAAGCAGAGAAAAGGAAAATCAGAGTCAACGTACGTCAGTATAGCAAGAGACATCAAATTCCCAGTGGCATGAGTTGAAGAATAATAGTCCAGAGTTAAGCTTGCAGTCAGCGGCTTTGCAGATGCTACCGCCCAAGTCTCTCACCCTCAACCATGGCCAACCCCACCATGTTCTTCACATTGCTGTCCACGGCAAGTCCTTGGCTGCATCTCCTTCCAGATGTTTGCAGACAAAGTTCCAAAGACAGCAGAAAACTTTCATGCTTTGAGCACTGGAGAGAAAGGATTTGGTTATAAGGGTTCCTGAATCATTCATTCCATGGTTTATGTGCCAGGGTGGTGACTAAATGTCATAATGGTACTGGCAACAAGTCTATCCATGGGGAGAAATTCGCTGGTGAGAACTTCATCCTGAAACATACCCGTCGTGGA